TCTCGTTAATTAATTTTTGGCTGAGCATTTGTGCTGAGTATCCAATTTATCAGAGAAAACTGTGAGGTTTCTTATGCCTTTTGTCATGACTTATAAATGTGAATCAGGCTTTTCAACGTTGGTTTTCTTAAAAAACAAGTACAGGAACAGATTAGATATCGAGCCAGATTTGAGGATCAAACTGACTTCTTTTCCTCCTGATTTGAAGTTGTGATGAAAACAACACCATCCTTCTCATTAGGTAAGTTTATTTCTTAAAAGAGCATTAATAAATATACAGTTAATGTAGAGATTAAATAACAATGAAGTATAATTTCTTTTATTTCTTTTTACACAGTAGTACTATAAAACACCTGTATATTTTATAATAGATGTTGTATTGATAAAACTATTGCTTCCAGCTTGATGTTAAGACTTAGCCATGTCTTAGTGGATTAACTAATTAGGTATCATGAAAAATTACAAAAATAAACTGGTCCCTAGTTGGAAAAGTTTGGAAAATGCTGCCATGGACTATGACAAGTTAAAAGTGGAATTGCTGAAATACTATAAACATACTGAGAAAGGTTTTTGCTGTAAATTCGGGGAAGTCAAATCTGGAAGCCCATGCAGGGAGTATAATTGGTAAGTCCAAGAATAACCAGTTAAAGTCAAAATCAGTGGTAGCTGACCAGAAGCAGGATACTGCCAAAGGTGACAAGAACTTAACAGGCAAAAGGGAGAAGATATTTTGTACTTTTTATAAAATAGGCACCTTACAAATGAATGCAAGTCTGTCACCAACAAGCAACAGTATAAATTTCAACATAAAGCAGCTGGAGCTACCTACAAAGATGGTGCTAACAAGAAGCAAGAAAAGAGTGACTATCGCCACAGATGCTGCTGCCAGAAGAAGAAAAAAAGAGGCAATACATCAGATTCACCACAAGAAAAAAGTGCTATCTCCATGATTAAACAGTGCATGACTGATGGTCAGCTTAAGTTAGCAAATGGGTCAACAGTGTCAAAGGTGATTAGAGCACGAAACAAACATTGAGAGGCCCAAGAAAATCAGAACATGCCAGTAGATGAAGTCTA